CTCATGGCACAGAAATATTACAAAGTTAACCTGCATGGCAGCAAGTTTAACACTGCACTTTTTTAACCTTTAGCATCTATTTGGGAACAGTGTTAAGGTTTGTTCAGGATACTGTTATTCTGTGTTGTTCCAAACAAAGAAATCTGTAAAACCAGCTATCTTTTAAGATGGACAGCTGACCACTCCTATCTCTTTCCACTCCCTGAGAACAAGCAAGGAGTCTGAGGCAAATGGATCAACTGAAAAGCTCATGTCTCCTAAGCCAATCCCCTCTGTTGTGACAGAATACAAGGATAAAGCATATAAACTGAGAAAACACATACTAAAATCACAGTACAACGAAGCTGTCGAGACTCTGTATGTTTTGAATTTTCTGTTCATCTAAAAGGGAAAAAAAAAAAAAAAAAAAAAGTAAAACCGGAAATAGTTATCAGTGTTTCACTACCAAGCCTGAAATTTATTGCAAAAGTTTTGCTGCCATATGCCTAAGAGTTACTTTGGGCAAATGCCAGAAATAAAAGGTGGTCTGTGAAGACACCTGTTGAGAAACAAAAAAAATTTCTATAGGATCACCAAGCCAAATGCTCAGGGTAAGGTCAGGAATTGAGATAGTTGCTCCTTGAGCTTAGACATTTATATTTTTGTATGATTCTGAAAAAGAGGAGATCTGACCAGCTATTAGAAATACAACAACTGTTGCAAAAATGCTTAACATTGCCATAGGCTAAGTTTAATCACAGATGAAAAATGCACAATCTTTGCTCATTTCTTCTCTTTTGATTATTCCAATTATATTTGTTTGATAGCAACTGAGTCCCCACTGTATCTGAGGTTGAAAAACTTGCACTTGGCTGAGATTAATTTTATGTATATCCAGAGACATTGCTACTTGTTACACATTTGCCTAGCCAGCCTCAATCTCTAACTGGAGACACAGAAGAAAACAAAGTATCACCATCAAAGACAAAGCAACACAGCAGGATTAAAAAAAGCCTTTTACCAATTTCTCACAAGGGTGGTTTTCATGTTGTTCCCCAGCAGGCCTATTTCTTGTAACTCAAATGCCCTTCACTGTTCTACCTGGAATTCTCTTTGCCTTCTTCATATAGGAACAGAAATGAGGTGAGGAAAAAATCAGAGACTTATAACAGCAACCTGAAATTCCTTACAGATCAGGATAACAACTTTTCTCATAGTACATGGGGACAAGTTTTCATGGGTGTAAAGATCAGAAGTGTGATGACAGAGACGTTCTGTAATCTAAAAGGAATTATATCAGGCGACAGAATAATTGAAATTATTTTCTACCTGCAGTCATAAGCTTTGTCCCTTTGTTATCTTCAGGCAAGTCTTTTTAGAGCTAGGAAAATTTAAACTGACAGGTGAAATTTCAAAGATCTACATTTCAGGTTTTATCAATTGATGATAATTGACACTTACAGAAGCATAATCTCCAATTTAGACACCTTTTCCTTCAGGAGAGGAATCTGTCTATGTTTCTCGAAGATGAAACAAGGATGTTAGAAGAAATGGGATTTAATACAAGGCACATGGTCACCTGCAGCAGCCATGACACTCTGTGGCTCCTGAAAGTCTTAGTAAATGCATAACATGCTCTGCAGACTGACTGTCATGGAGAGAGGAATGAGAAATTTCTCTGTTTATGGAGAAATACTCTGTGGGTATTTCCATATTCTGAAACTTAATGAAGAAGTGAAGCTTTGCGACCACACACGAGGCAACTTCCAGGATGGTCTGCCTGGATGCTGAGCTTGATCTTGCCCAGTTTGGGAAAAGTGATAGGGAAAAAAATTCTGTTTGCTTCAATTTTTCAATGGAAAACAGTAAAAATCTGCTACCAATTTAACTTACAGAGTTTCACAAAACCCCACAGTTTGTGTATTTGGCCTCCTCACCATATTCACAAGATGATTTTTTGGTTTTAGCGGCTGGGAAATTTTGGGGTAGAGGGTTTGGTGTGGGTTATCTTTAGGGGATGTGTGTGTGTGTACTTTCTTCCAAGTTCTAGCATTATTAAAAAAGTGAAACTGTCATACAAAATGCCTGCAAAAGCTGCCTGTCATCTCATTCTCCAATGCTTGGGCACTCTTTTCCCTCTTTTATTTGAGTAGTTGTTATAGTCTATTTCAATTTTAAACTCAAGCTGAAAGAGTCACGACTCTGAATTTGGTCACTGTCTGTTATACAAAGCTTGTTATGAGAAAAAAAAAAAGGAGTTGTACACTTCTTTAGTATTACTCCTGCCTTTAATAATAACCAGTTAATTGTGGTTTTATAAACCCCTCAATAACTGTATTACTCATTAGCAGTAAACCCCTTATTTTATTGATTTTTGATGCTGTATCTTCCTGGGAACTTAAGATTTCTGACTGTAATTCCTTTCACTGTTATAATTATTCTTGAAGTATCTTAAAAAACTAGAATGAACACATTCAAAGAAAATGCAAGCCTTGGAGAAAAGAGCCACTTGCCTTTGTGAGAGAGCTACACCAGGTTTAGGTTACATGTGGCAGATATACCTCACTATCCTCACAGACTATCCCATAAAATCCAATACAGATTTAAGTAAAAAGCCTTCTACAGGAGCTAAATAAGATTCTGGAGAAATAACTTAGAACACTAACAGCCTTCTAATAGACCTCTACAGGGCTGTAAAAGTACTTTAAAGTACATGGCACTTGAAGTTACATATTTCCCATTCAAAGCAGGAGAGTATGACTGTGACTAAAAAGATTGAAACATTCAGCCAAAGGAAGCAAAGCCCAATTTTATACCCAGTAATTTTCAAGCAGGAAGAAGCAGCACTCAATCAAGTGCTAAGCACTACTGACAGACCACATCACACATGAAGAGACATGCATTCAGATTAATCCCATTACAACACCATTAGACATAGCAATTTCAATACCATGGCTCTGAAGTACCTTCATTGTTTTCAGATCCCACAACAAATCTCTTCAAGAAAACAAACTCCTACTCACCTACACAGATCAATCACTCTAAGAGAAATTGGAATGTGAACTCAGAAACCTGATAATGGTTTTAGCACATCCAAGCAGGTTTCTTGATACTGATGATCCGTTCCTCACCAGGTGACTTCCAACTACTTGTAATTGTAAAGATGGACAGTGGATGATGATCCATTGGTGACACCACTCTGGAATTCCAGAGCCTGCCCAGGTAAAAGCATTGAAATAGGCTGCATCAAATGAAGTGCTGCCAGCAGCCAAGGGACATCACCCTCTCTGCTCCACTCTCGTGAGACCCCATCTGGACTACTGTGCCCACCTTTGGGGCCTACAGTGTCAGAAAACACATGGACCTGTTGGAGCAAGTCCAGAGGACCACAGAGATGATCAACGGGATGGAGCAGCTCTTCTATGTAGACAGGCTGAGAAATTTGGGGTTTTTCAGAAAAGGTTCCAGGGAGACTTTACTGCAGACTTTCAATACTGAAAGAGGGCCTGAAAAAAGGTGTGGAGAAATAGACTTTTTTTTTTACCAAAGTCTGTAGTGACAGGACAAGGGGTAATGACTTTTAACTAAAAGAAAGTTTATATTGGATATAAGAAAGAATTTTTAAATTATGAGAGTGGTGAAATACTGGAATAGATTGTCCAGAAAAGCTACGGATGATTCATCCCTAGAAGTGTTCTCAATCCCTCTAAGTGTTCAAGGCCAGGCTGGATGGATTTGAGCAACCTGGTCTAGTGGAAGGTGCCCCTGCCCATGGCAGAGTTATTGGAACTAAATGATCCAATAATTTCCTTTCTCACCCAAACCATTTTGAGAGTCTGTGATTCTACAAAATTCTCCTCTAACTGCAGGTGCTCAAGGCATACAATTTATATTTTACCAATGGAAACATTTTTAAAACACACTGAAAAATTACGTATATTTTGTCTGAAAAACACAGGCAAATCAATCTGGGAGGGCCTTTTAAGCTACGCTATCAAGTGCTATAAATAAGAGCATTACTATACGTCAACAGTCACTCTGTTGTGCACATATATTATCACATTTAGTCACTTGGTTTCTAATACTCAAGTGACAGCAGGCATATACTTCTTTCAATGAATGGGACACTGCAGACAGTTTGCCTGACTACTAGAAAGAAATGTATTATTAATAGATTTTAGAAAGATGCATTATTTCATATATATTTTTTTCAGGCAATAAATCCTAAAGATATGAATGAAATGGACAAAAAAATGAATTGTATCCATTATCAAAAATTACTCTGTGATAGTCACTGCTGCCAATTGCTAGGACCTCTGTCATAACACTTTACTTTGCCCAAAATGCATTGAACAACAGTCAAATGAAACAGGAGAGAATTAAAAGAAAGGACTCAGATGTTCCATAAGGACTCAGAGGTTCCATATGGCAACACTACAGCTTTCTAATATGGAAAATTGAGATGCAGTATCTTAGCAAGTTTTTTTAATTAATTAATTATGAATTTTGTATGCAAGAACGAAGAAACTGAAACAAAATATGTACAACATCAAACAATCAGTGCATCTCATTTATGCATTGTAAATAGTCTGGTTCTTTTCAGAAACTTGTCACAGGCTTTGTTTTTAAAGGGAAATCCTGCATTTTCCAGACATGTGAGAAACAAAAAAAAAACAAAAAAAAAAAAAACAAAAAAAAAAAAAAAAAAAAAAACAAACAAAAAAAAAAAACCCAAAAAAAA